AAAGAGAGAGAGAAGAAGAGGGTGAAAGAGAGAGAAAGGAAGAGGAAGAAAGAGAGAGAGGAAGTAGGGGGAAAGAGAGAGAGAAGAAGAGGGCGAAAGAGAGAAGAAGAGAAAGAGGAAGAGAGAAAGAGGAAGAGAGGGAGAAAGTGAGAAAGCGATAAAGAGAAAGAGAGAGAGAGAGACCCGGTGCACCTGGGACGCGACCTTGGCATTTTTCTCCGGTTGGCATCTGGTCAGCCCGCCCGCCAGCAGCGCCGCCGCCGGAGTGCCGGTCGGGGCGAGGCTGCTGGAGGCGCTGCAGGTGCTGGAGGACGGGACGACGCCCTTGCGACGACGACGAAGGGATGCGGGCGTTATTTGGGGGGGATCTTGGGGGTTCATTGATATTTTTTGGATGTTTTTTTCATGGATTTATTTCTTTATGCGGATATTTGTTATATCTTGTTTTGATTGTTTTTTTCATTTATTTATTTATTGTCTATGTGTTTTAACTTGTTATTTCTTTTGGTCTGTACGTGAGGTGTCTGTTCCGGTCCTTGCCAACTTGGATGCATTTCGGTAATCTGTTTTCCTGGTTCATATTGTTGTTGTTTGTTTTGCCACTGTTTATACCATCATTATTTATGTTTTTGTTGTAAGCATGACAGGCTTGGAGGTTTCGATAGTGAATGAAGATGTGAGAGTGCAGTTTTACTCGAGAGGTCTCCTTGTGTCGCTCGAGGAGGGCGGTTGTTTTTGTTATCATTGGCGATTCCCTGGCGATGCCTTTTTCCGATAGCAGGTGTGGTTGTCCTTGCACCCTTGCAACCTTGCAGACTAGCACACTCGCATCCTTGGAGCCTGGCGCCCTTGCACATACACTTGCAACCTCGCACACTTCCAGCCTGGCATTTTTGCGCCCTTGCATCGTTGCAGTCTCGCAGCGCCCGTGTGCCTTGCCCTTGTCTCCTTCGCCACCCCGCCAGCGCGTAGGCTGAACTGTGGCTCCGTTGGCGAGGGGCGGAGGGGGGCGTGTAATGCCGTAATGATGCTTTTGGCACTTTCGTCATGGGCGCCGCTTGCATCCGGGCGTGGGGCCAGGGCGAGGGCATGGGCCTCACCTTGGCACTCTGAGCAGGCCCTCTCTCAGTGTGCGAGCTCGGCCTGAGGGAGACGCCAGGTGGTCCTAGGTGTTCCTCCGTCTCCCCTTCGCCTCCCCTCGCCTCCCCTCGCCTCCCCTCTCGGATTCGTCTCCCAGGAAGGCTCCCGGGACTCCAAGCGAAGGGCAGGCCGTGGGCGCCGTGGGCTGTGGATGATGTTATTTGTGTGAGCAAGGCCGGGCGTGTGTGTGTGAGTGTTCGCGCGGACACGTAGTGCCAGTGCTAGGACGCGCGGCCAACCAGGGCCTTCACTCTTTTTTCTGAGCCGCCTTGACGAGGGCGCAGGCGGCGGGCGTGACCGTCCAGGCCTGACCGTCCGAGGCCGCCCGCTGATCTGCGTCGCGTCTTGTGGCAGGGGGGAATCCGCCTTCTCTGGAGGGGTCTCTCCTCACCATGAGAATCTGCGGGCGTGCAAGGGCGGCCACAGCAGCAGCTCTGATGGGCGGGGGGCTCCGACTGCCCCGCCCCCGTCGAGTGTCGTCGCAAGCCGTGCAGCCGCGTCGGAGCCAGAGCCAGCATGTTCTCCATTTGCTCCACCGTCCTGCCCATTGTAGGTGGCTCGTGTGCCCTCGCGCCCCTGGGCACGCGGTGCTCAGATGTCTGTTCTTTCTTTTTCATGGAGATATTTCTTGAGCATTATGATGTAAAAACAATTCGGATACGTTGTGGCTTGAGATGACATGTAATGTTCACATAAACAGGAATTATGGCATGTTACATAATTTAGATGTCCCTCTGTCTGTTATGGCATATGGAGAATGGGCATTGCTATCATGTTTAATTCACAGGACTTCCGCTTTTTAGATTTTTGGGTTGCGGACTCTCTCCTTGTGCCGTCATCTTTAGCTCCACATTTGTCTGTGTCCTCTCCCGTCACCTCCATTGTCCTGCCCTTTGCCCCTCGTTCTTGCCCCATGCCCCTTGCCCCCTCCTACTGCCCGTGCCCTCCCCATCGACCGCCACAGATTGGAATTAATGAATGTCATTGTGTAATGTAGCGAAGTCATTTTACGAGACGAGAGGCCTGTCTCGTTCCCGCCAGACAGCCGACTCGTCTGGTCGTCTGTCTGTCCGTCTGTCCGTCTGTCTGCTAGGTTAACTTTGTATCTTCATGTTTTCCGTCCTACCTGTTAAGTCCCTGTTATACTTGTGCCACTTTTTGTTTGTTTTTCTTTTATTGACGTCGGCTGTGTTTGCCCGCAGACTGCACCTTGCCGTCATGCATTTCCCCTCCACCTAGTGATCTAAACGTCGACACTATCTTATCCCTAGGTCCGCTAGCCTTAGGCCTCTCTTGCCCCTAGCGTTAGGAAGGAAGTGTTTGATGTCAGGGCTCGGGCCTCTTCGGAACCCCGCTTCTGTAAGTTGGGAAGTTTGTTTTATTTAGCATTCATGGTCGTGTGTTGGTTTGTCTGTCCGCAGCTGTCTGCCATCGACGTTGACGGCGCCACAGAATGCAACACCCCGTTCGACCCAAGCCGGGTAAGGGAGAAAGATGGGGAGAGAGAGAGAGTGAGAAAGAGAGGTGGGGTGAGAAAGATGGACGATGTGGATAAATATGTGGATAATTGCATTTAATATTTGTCCTTGATCGATTTGTTTCTTCACCCTCGTGCATGGAGAAGGCGATTGTGTGATTTGTCTCTTGTGCATCCTTGTATGTTTTTATTCACTCTCGAAATACGTTTGTTTATTGGATGATAACCCCCCCTCCCTTTTTTCTCCATTCCCTTTTACTATTGTCGGACGTTTGTGTGATGTGTGATGATAGCGGTTGGTGGGAGTTTGCTCAACACCTGATGTTTTTTTTTTTGTTTTTTTTTGCCTCCCGCAATATAACCATTTTACCTTCATCACATCCAGCCTTTTTGTTGTTGTTTTTTCTGTCTAAAATTGTTTTCCTGTTTTTAGTGACTTTTTTTTGTACTAGACAGACATTTCCTGTTTACTGCATGTGTTTGCAAACCCCTCCCATGCACGCGCATAAAACAAATTTATTTGATTACCCAAACACTACCGCGCCATATGCTTTCATCCTTTCCTCATGTTATAAATAACGCTATTCGATTTTTATTTTTTGCAAATAGAGCGTTGCATTTATATTATTTTATATGTATGGACATGGACGGGGGCTTCAACGCTACACGGGCGCGGGCACGGGGACGCCCCTAGTGTATTCTTGCCATCACATTGTTCTAGTGAGGGGCGTGAGTCACCCTTTTCTTTGCCAACTGTGTATATTGTCTCCTGTCATCCTCTATCTCTCTCTCTCTCTCTCCCTCTCTCCCTCTCTCTCCCTCTCTCTTCCCCTATCCTTGCATTCCACTTGAATTTAATGAGGTGATGTTCCTCGTTTTTCTCCTTGTCGCTTTTCTGTATCTTGTATTTCTTCTTCTCTCTCTCTTCTCTTGTCTCGTTATCTCTTCTCTTTCTTCTTATCCCATTTCTCCTCTACTCTTCTGTTTTCTGTCCTTCCTCTCTCTCTCTCTCTCTCTCTCATTCCGTCGTCGTTTGCGTTGCCGTCGTTGCCCCCCCCCTCTCCTGTCTCACTTCTCTCCGTTGCGTCCCCCTCTCCCTTCGTATAACTTCGTATAATGTATGCTATACGAAGTTATTACGGTTTTTCTACTTGTCGCTTTTCTGTATCTTGTATTTCTTCTTCTCTCTCTTCTCTTGTCTCGTTATCTCTTCTCTTTCTTCTTATCCCATTTCTCCTCTTCTCTTCTGTTTTCTGTCCTTTCTCTCTCTCTCTCTCTCTCTCTCTCTCTCTCTCTCTCTCTCTCTTTCTTTCTTTCTTTCTTCTCTCTCTCTCTCTCTTTCTTCTTTCTTTCTTTCTTTCTTTCTCTCTCTCTTCTCTCTCTCTCTCCTCTCTCTCTCTCTCTCTCTCTTCTCTCTCTCTCTCTCTCTCTCTCTCTCTCTCTCTCTCTCTCTCCCTCTCTCCCTCTCTTCCCTCTCTCTCTCTTTCTCTCTCTTTCTCTCTCTCTCTCTCTCTCTCTCTCTCTCTCTCTCTCTCTCTCTCTCTCTCTCTCTCTCTCTCTCTCTCTCTCTCTCTCTCTCTCTCTCTCTCTCTATTCCGTCGTCGTTGTCGTTGCCGTCGTTGCCCCCCCCCCCTCTCCTGTCTCACTTCTCTCCGTTGCGTCCCCCTCTCCCTCTCCCTCTCCCACTGCCCTATCTTCCTCTTCCTTTCTCCTAGACTCGCTCCCTGACTCACTCGGGTACTGCCTTCCAGAGACACAACTAATACAGTACAAGGCCGTTTTCCAACACGCTTGTTAGAATGATTAAGATGAAAGATACGAATGCTGCATTTGAAGATCTTGCGGTTTGATTTAGATGGTTAATGGATATGGATTTTTTTAAAGTTAGAAATGAAGAGGAAGATGCAGGGAAGGCCATAAGAATAAATAAGTTTCAACAGAAAAAAAACAAATTTACTGCAGCAGGATGGGGGTTTCAGAGTTGAATTGGCAATCTGTCATGATTAGCGCAGTGGCAAGCGCCATTAACAGGTATCTGCAGGTTGACATGCTCAAGTGACAGTGCTGCTGTCATTTGTTATTACGCTTATGTAAGCTTAGTTCTTTAGAGAATCATTCGCTGGCGCGTCACTTGAATGAAAAAATGAATGACGGGTTTGTTTAACGTCTTCTCGGCAGCAGGTCTCCGCTCTAGTATCATAAACTTGTACGCTCGTGTAGTTTTGCGGCCTTTGATCCTTGCCTTGCATTATAAGAACCATTGTCAACCTTATCTCCAAGCGACAAAATGTTTGCGTTACAGTTTACAATTATTTAAGATCTTGGAGGAGGAAAGAACGTGACGTCAGAGGCAGACTGAAGTTAGCATCGGTGGCAGTCACTCTGTTCGCGTGTTTCCTTGTTTAATTGTCAGCGGCATGAGTCAGTCGTCCAATTTTATGCCCCATGCCTCTCATGGTCGCCGCGCGGCTGCACACTTGACACACTCCCTCCTTTTCGCTCAAACTTCTGGTGACTCTTAATGCCCCTCTTGGGCATAAGCTTTCCTTCCCCTCGTATTATTTTGTTTGTTGGTTTCACCATGATCCATTTTTCTTCATTTTTGAAGGCGATATGTTTCCCGAATATTGATTAGATCATGAAGGAGACCTTGCCCACATGGCCCTTCTTGCCGTCTAAATTTGCATGACTTTTGGGTATTTTGGGAAAGATCGGAGAAGAGCGAGGAAGGGGAGAGATTATTCTCTTGTGGTTTATGATCATTATCTATAATCTTGAAAATGTGAATATGGGCGGTTTTACGCTGTTTGTCAACTCGGAAGTTTGTATTTTTCAGTAGATGTGAATTAGAGTGATTTGGTATTTTTATTGTTTTTGAATAATGTGTGATTTTGTGTACTGCATGACTAAGGTATTGGAATTTTTTCTCTTATTTGTGGTGAATAATCACATGTATCGATTGCTCTTGAGACTTTTTATTTCTTGTGTGTTCCGGTGTGTTGTATGAAGTCCTTATATGTTGATTATATATGTATTTGTGATGTCTGAAAAAATAAAGTATAAAATATCATTTACAAGGTCAGTTGAATAATTTGTACTCTTTGTTTCTTCTTCACTTGCAATTAATAACTCATGAATTTTTCTTTTCTTGCTTTTTACATTTTTGTTTGATTGTTTTTTTCTTCTCAACTTTAGAGAGATGTTAATGAAAGTACTTTGAGACAAGCTGATAGGCCATAGATAGAGGACTGACATGCCCCATGCCCACAGCTGGATGACCTGAGCTCCGACAGTGACGACGAGTACTTCGATGTTGTGGCGATATCAGCCCTCCGTCAGCAGCCCCCACCCCTCAAACCCCAGCCAAACCCCCTCCACAGCAGCCCCCCCAGGCACCCTACCTCCCTCCCACCCACAGCCAAAGCTTACCAGCTGTTAACAAAGGCATCAGGCCTATGGGCAATGCACAAGCTCAGCAACATGCACCTGCAGCCAAACCTACGCCAGGTTCTGTGGCGAAGAATGCGGAGGCTTCTAAGCCGGCTCCCAGTGCTGGTGCCACAGACAAGAACAAGGACCCGAAACCACAGGCAGCTGCCACTGCAGTCAGCAGTCCAGACCAACAAGCACAGAAAGTGCCTGCAGCAACTAGAGCAGTTGGAAACGGAACATTGCCAAAGAAAATCCTCCCAGAACAACAGCAGGTACCCAGTGCTCCCAAAAAATATCCTGCACCAAAGCCTCCTTCTGCGACGCAAAATGCGAACGAACCACTACAGCTAAACAGAACAGATCCTGCACATGGAGATTCCAGTTCGCCACCAGCTAAGCCTGAATACCAAGCCCCCGAGAAGGCAGTTCCAGAAACGAAACCTTCTGTGCCTTTACCTTCTGACGCAGTGAATCAACCACAGAATACAGGAGATGGCAAAAAGGCTACGCGAGCCCCATCATTCAAGAAATATCCAGCACCAAAGCCTCCAACAACAGTTCCCAGTAAAGATACAGTAAAGCCTGAAGTTGTAGAATCTGCTACACAGCCAGCCATTTCCCCAGAAGATAAAGCCTTACCTGTCTTAGATCCTGCTGTCCTAGAAAACAAAACGACTGGCACTGTTACCAGAGAGACAAAGCAGGAAACAAAACTCCATGCTGAAGCAGAATCTGGTGTGGCCTCTATAAAGAAACCACAGACAATCGACACTACGAAAGACAACACGACTCCAGATTCGACATTTAAAACGACTGAAAAGGAAACGAAACAATCTACAATAAATCAAGTAAACCTACAAGCTGACACATCTCGAAAAGTAAGAGCAGGAAGCCCAATTCCAGATAAATCAGTAGTGTTGGGCATAAAGTCTCCAACAGTGGTTACAGGAAACTTCAGATTGCCCCCTCAGAAGTAGTTGTTAGTCAGTCGGAGAAGACGAAAGAAGCTGAAATGAAAGGAGCTTTGGTTACTTCAAACAAGATGGAACCGAAGCCCACAGAGCAGATCAGTGATGGCAGTAAGGCAGCACCAGAACCAAATAAACTTATTCAGAAAAATGACTGTGTAAGTGGTAAAGAAGCTGTTCACCAAGATTCAAATACAGCAGTGAAAAAGGAAAATGTTACAAGTGTTGACCAACCCAAAATGACAAATGGCATTTTAGTAGAAAGACAGAAGCAAGAAGAGATGACACAAAATGCAAAGAAAGTCCAGCCTGCAGGTCAGCCCAAAGAAGATAAAAAATCTAGTTATGATGACCCAGTTGCAAAGATAGAGAACTTCTTGGACAGTGAAATCTCAGATATGGAAGTGTTCAGTGAGAGAAGTAGCAGGTGCAGTTCTGTGGCTAGTGACCTTTCAAGAGCAGTATCTCCAGACTGTTCTCAGAAGTCGGGAAGACGCAGTAGAAGTGATAAATTAGCTTCGATCATGAACAAGTGGGAGAATGAAGAGGTTTCACAAGTTTCTCAGAAAAGTAACAGAGCGAGGACACCCAAAATTGGCAGATTAACTGGAATTGCCAATAAGTTTGAAGCTGGGAAGGATACTGGCAATGCAAAGAATGATGGTAAACTTCCAGATAACAAGAATAATATTCTTGGCAAACTGAAGAACCCTTATAGTCCCCCATTCAACCCAGAACCAAGACCCCCAGATCCAGTTCCAAAGAAAAATATTGGTGGAATCAACACAGCAAGGTTCGGAAGCGTTGCAAGTTTTACCAGAAAGCCGGGTGACCCCAAAAAAGAGGCTGAGAGAAAACAGCAAGGTAGCAAAGACCCAGCAACAAAATTAAAGGACGAAGCGATCAATAAAGAAAAAACTCAAACCAAAGAGTCAGGGACTGAGAAAGGAAAAGTTGAAGTGAATCAGAAGGATAGCAGTGGAGCTGCAGAAAACAAGGATTTAAAGGATGCTCAGGAAAAGGCAAAAGGTAATCAGGTGGAGGTTATACCAAATGGAGACATACATTCTGTAGATTCAAATGTATCTGTGAGTGAGAGTGAAGCAAAAGTCAGCAAGAAAAAGAAGAAAAAGAAATTGGTGGATGCAGAAAAATCAGGTGAAGCAGATGTTGCAAATGCTCAGCAGGATAAGTCAGCTGAGGGTTCAAAGGATAAAACAGGTTTAGTGAAAGAAAACAAAGAAAGTGTTTCAGATGCTTTAATTGAAAAGTCAGGTGTAAAGAACAAGGCAGCTGAAACCATAGAGTCTGGTACTAAGGACCCTATAGCTAACAGTACTCCAGTCAATGAAAATGAAAAGATAGCATCAAAAACTACAGATGTTACAGACAAAGCAGATGTTCCCAGCAATGAGAAAGCCAAAGCAATTGATGAAACAACAAAAGCCACTGAAAGTAAAGAGATTTCAAGCAAAGATGGTGGCTGTAAAAACCTCAAGATCAAGACAAAGGATACCACAGACACTCAAGAGAAGCCAGTTGCCGAACCTCCCAGTAAGGCAACAGATGAAAAAGTTGGTAATAAAGCCAAACAAAACAAGGCAGAGGATCCTACACTTGCCAAAGAAAAAGTGGATAATAGCACTGATGCCAAAAAATCATCATTAGAATCTAAGGAGAAAACTGACATAAAGGTCAAAGAAACTGAAAGTGTTTCGTCACAGGCCACAGACAAGAAACCAAAGGTGGATGATATCAGTGATAAAGAAAAAGAAGCCATTGTCATGACTAAGCCAGATGACAACAAGGATATTAAGGTGGCGGCTGAGAAAACTGACGATGCCAAGATTGTTGAGAATAAGGAAGTTAAGGAAAAAGTAAATGCCAGTGAAAAGTGAATAAACTAAGGCTAAAGGCTCGGTTAAAGTTGAATAAAAGTAAGGACACTGACATGAAGATGGAGGAAACTAAAGATGCCAATGGAAAGACCAATGAACCTAGTGATATCAAGGCAAAGATAGGTGAACCTACTAACAATGCAAAGGTAAAGGAAGATGTAACTAAGGATCAGACGGTAGAGATAGACAAAACAAGGGATATCAAGGATAAGGTAGATGAAACTAAAGATACTAAGATAAAGGATTTGAAAGAGGAAATAGACAGACAAAAATGGAGCCAAAGATAAGGTGAAGACAGATAAAATAGAGGATGATAAGAAAGATAAAGTAGAAGATGCTAATGTAAAGATAGATAAGAGAGAAGATGCCAAGGTAAAAACAGATAAAATGGTGGATGCTAAGGTAAAGACAGATAAGGTACAGGAGGCTAAAGTAAAAACAGAAAAGGTGGATGATGTTGCAGTAAAAGCAGATAAGGTAAAAGATGCCAAAATAAAGGCAGATAAAGTAGAAGATGCCAAAATAAAGATGGATAAGATAGAAGATACCAAAGCAGAGAAGGATAAGGTAGCAGATGCCAAAGTAAAGATGGATAAGATAGAAGATGCCAGAGCAGAGATGGATAAGGTAGCAGATGCCAAAGTAAAGATGGATAAGATAGAAGATACCAAAGCAGAGAAGGATAAGGTAGCAGATGCCAAAGTAAAGATGGATAAGATAGAAGATGCCAGAGCAGAGATGGATAATGTAGCAGATGCCAAAGTAAAGATTGATAAAATAGAAGATGCTAAAGCAGAGAAGGATAAGGTAGCAGATGCCAAAGTAAAGATAGATAAGATAGAAGATGCCAAAGCAGCGAAAGATAAGGTAGCAGATGCCAAAGTAAAGATGGATAAAATAGAAGATGCTAAAGCAGCGAAAGATAAGGTAGCAGATGCCAAAGTAAAGATGGATAAGATAGAAGATATCAAAGCAAAGAAGGATAAGGTAGCAGATGCCAAAGTAAAGATGGATAAGATAGAAGATGCCAAAGCAGAGAAGATAGGGTAGCAGATGCAAAGTAAAGATGGATAAGATAGAAGATGCCAAAGCAGAGAAGGATAGGGTAGCAGATGTCAAAATAAAGACGGATAAGATAGAAGATGTCAAAGCAGAAAAGGATAAGGTAGATGCCAAAGCAGAGAAGGATAAGATAGAAGATGTCAAAGTAATGGCAGATAAGATGGAAGAAGTCAAAGTAAAAACAGACAAAGTAGAGGATGCTGAATTAAAGACAGATGAAAGTATGGCTACCAAAGGAAAGTCAGGTGAAGTCCAAGGTATCATGGTAAAGTCAGATGTAATCACTGATGCTGGAACAAGTATAACAGAAAAGAAGAAAGTACGAATCAGGACTCCAAGTATGGATTCCCAAAAAGGACTTGGCATTGGAAAGGTTGAGGACATAATTGCAGCTGGCACCAAGGATTCCAACAAGTCACTTGAAGTCACAAATATATTGCCCAAGGTGGATGAAGCTTCTGGTACTCCTGTCAAGTCAGAGGAAGTAAAAGATGTAGAAACAAAATCAGATATCAGATCAGCAGAAAATGTTTCCTGAGACACCTAAAACACCTGAAGAAACTGGCTGCAGGCCTAAAGTTTTTAAATTACCTGAATCAACAAAAGAAGAAAATCCAGGAATAGATGTGAACCAGGCTATTATGCAGAAAATCACGAGGAAGAATCACGAGGAAAACAGGCACGAAGAAAAGAAGGGTAAAAGAAGTGTGGCTCTCAAGGGAGCAGTTATGGGAGCTGTCAATAAAACTAAATTGGCCTTTGGCATAGGAACCAAAGCTGCAGGAGAATCTGTTCCAGTACAGCCTAGTATACCACAGCCAAGTGCTGTACCAAAGCCTGATGAAAATACGGATGATAAGATAAGTAACAAAATATTAGAAAAACCTGTTCCTGAATTGGAATCAGAGGTGGAAGCTTTGATAAGAGAAGCATCAGCTCTCCTAGGGCCTGACAGTATTTCTCCACAACCTTCTACCTCGACTGCATCAGCGCCATCCAGTCCCTTGAAGGATATTGAAAGACCTATATCCTTGAGTGAAAAACTAGAGTTACATATAGAGAAGAACCATACAACTTGCATAGGAGAGGAAGGCGAGGAAGAAATATATGTTGATGCCATTGACCCGTCCGTCAACTTCATTCTTTACCCTCTAATGCAGTAGATCCTACCCAGTTCGATATCTTGATGCCTCTCCCAGATGTTCAGGCAGAGAGAGAGCGACGCTCTCGTTCTCGCACTCCCATGGATCGCTCTGAGAGATCCTGCACACCATCATCTGTAGTAGCACAGACTGAAGCTCTACTCTCCGAGACAGACCGACTCCTCAAAAGGTCTCGATCCAACAAGTCCCTCAGAAGGTCTTATAGCCGTTCAATGTCAGCAGCAGCACTGCATAAAGTAGGTCTACAAACCACACATACCCCTTAGGGAATGGGAGAAAGTAAAAACCTGGGGATCCAGTAGTGTCTGAAATTGCTTGTCATAAACCCTATCTTCCCTTTTTGTAGTATGTGTGTGTGTTTGTGTGTGTAGACCTCAATAATTTTGTACTTCTATGTTGTAGATTTGTTTTTAAAAAATTCCTTAGTGTAGTGTGATGTACCATATACCCAGTATCCACTATGCATTATGTTGAATTCCAGTTTAACATGTTCACATACCTTGTTCACTTCCAGTCTGCGCAGATGGTATTGGAAGCTAAGTGTGAGCTCCAAAGAAATGGAATATTGTGCAACGTAAGTTGTCATGTGAAGAGCCACATGACAGAAGAAAATTACCAAATTTGCATTACACTAGCTCCTTTACTTTTGTATATTTTCTTTTATTTAATTGTTATGGTTTACTCCTTTCAGGTATTTTAGAGGTTTTACTAATCACAAATGTAATTTGAAACCTTGGTCTCATATCCATAATTTATTATTTTACAGTATCTCATTGCAGTGAGTTATGGTTTGACAGATGCAATCATTTTTATTTAATTTCTTTTGTTACAAGTACTATTATTTTTTTATGTATTCTTTTATTTTATTTAAAAAGGCTACACAGTTTATTCACAGCTTTCTATATTTGAAGTAGACGATTAATTTACTCACAAATATAAGCATAAGAAAAAACATCTATTCACATTACAGTAGTGGAATTTGCATTAATTTTTCACATCTCTTGAAGAATCATGTCAAATCCATAGACATAATTCATTCTAATATGTGAATATCTGTTAGATGTTAGTTTTGAGTAGTTCTATATCATATTTATTGAGTATTAGTGCTATAAGCAGAATTCTAACAGTTTGTTGAGAACTTCAAGACTTTAGATGGACTTTGTATGTGTAGAGATATAATATCAAAATCCATCTAACTATAAGCAATATTCTAAAAGTTCTTTCCCTTATTAAACAGCTGTCAGAGGTAGCAGCAGACCTCTAGAAGAGCATACCACAGCACACCTAGCAGGAGAGAGGTTGGAAGCTGAACAGGCAGAAAGAATGAAGCTAGAAAAGGAATTAGACAGGCTGCAGGTAAATAGAAGAACTGTCACAGTTAGTTTTCTGGGTGAAATGGAGTTATGCAGAATATTATTTGTGAATTAACTTAGGAATTTAATAAGCCAATTTTTTTTGCACTGGATAGAATTATGGTTCAGAGCTGTGTTCTTTTTCCTGAGATTTAGTTTTGATTTACTTATAGTACATTCATTTTTATTAATTTGTTGTTATTCAGATCAGGTGTAAGCATATGCAGATATTGAATAGTGATATATTTATTATAACTATGTATTTGAAATAAGTGAATGGGTAGTTGCAAGCAGTCTGTGAATCTGGAATTAGATAATACAAAGAAAAACTTAAATTATTAAATTTCACGGCATCTTACAGACGGATGTTAGGCGCATGACAACAGAGAATGGTAAGCTCGAGATGGAAAAACTAGCACTCCGCACAGAAGTCCTCTCAGCAGCGGATCTCAATGGAGATGCAGATGATGACGATTACGGCGAAGAGGCCTCACTCTACAAGCGAAAGTATGAGTGGTGCCTTCGAGAGATTGAGGTCCTGAAGAAACAATTGAAGCAGCAACAGGAGGATGATTATGATCAGCTTGTCCTAATGAAGAAACAGCTGGAGAAAAAGGTTTGTCAACTAATCTTTCTCTCTGTGCAAGTAATTTCTCCTTTTTAAGTTGGTCCATTAAGGTTAACATCAATGGCACTTTTTTACATGCATTGAATTCTGATTTAGCATCTTCAGTATGGTTATAAAGAGAAAAGTAAATGATGGATCCCCTTTTTCTGTTTTGTAATCAAGTATTAAATACATCCAGAAGGTGAACAGTCAAGTAAATATATTTCCTACTATTTAAGATGCACAAGCCTAATATGGTAGATTATCCTTATAAAATTCAGCAATGAATATTTGGGAGACAAATATTTTTATCATATATGTTCTAGAATAAATGGTGATGATGATACTATAGGAAGTCTTTTCTGTTCAAAACATTTAATTTTGGCCGTAGAGTTGTTAATGGTCCCATGCTGAGTAATTGTGGATCTGGAATGACAAGTAAAACATTGGTTGGTTTAAGTTCAAGCAATATAAATTGTGTATTACCTTTAAAAGTTTTCCAGGAACTTCTGGTTGCAGAATAGGGAAACAGTTACAGAGATGGGCATTTTTAATCATTTTAGCAAACTATATTGACATTATGGACATTCCTGCTTATCAAAGGAAATTCACCTATCATTGGTGTTCAAAATGATACCATGCTTTGTTGTGTAAGGTGTTATCACAAAAATAACAATGGCAATCTATTAGTAGGGGCATTAAGATAATTTTTCTATAATTGTACTCAAGGGCTAGCATAAATTAACATCAAGGTAAAGTGCGCAGTATGATTATTGGATAGGAAAAAAAGTATGATAATTGTGTCTGAGCAGTTAGTGACAGAGCTAAATAGATGATGTAAATACATTTTTTATTGCATTCTTATACAATAGGTGACATGGGAGAACTCATTTTAAGGTTGATTTTCCAAGTTACTTTGACTTAACCTTTTTCCTGATTCAACAATATGTAAATGAAATTTGAATTTACCAGTAAGAAACTATCAAAACTTTTAGCTCTAGAATAGAGCTAAATGAAATTAGGTTTAGACCATTTGGTAACAACAAAGAGTGTTAATCTTATTTGTTGATTAAATGATTTATGTGTTTGTGAATTTAAAACCCATTTGATAATAAAAAAAAGTTTTGGTTGTAAAGAGGTGGTTGATTGATCAGAGTAGAGCATAGAAAAAGAAATTTAGAATTTTATGAATTTTTTTAACAAAATGAATAGAAAGTATGGAGAGTCCTTGAAATGACAGAATATTTTACCAAGATTTTACTGTATTCTATAATCTTCTCACCCCAGGTGGCAGATGCATATGAGGAAACAGACGAACAACGACAAGTGGTGGCACAGATGAAGCGGAAGTGCCAACGACTCCAAGCAGAAATGAATGACCTGAAAATACTGCTGGAGGAACAGACTTCGCGTAATAATCTCCTGGAAAAGAAGCAGAGAAAGTAAGTATTCCAGAAATCAAACACTGCTTGTGGTCATGTGGATAACAGTCATACTAAAATGATGATTAGTGTAGGATTCCCCCAGAAGCCTTGTTTATGTATTTTTAAAAAGACCATTTTGATTAAGATTTCAGCATAGTCTATAGACTTTTATTGTTATTGTTATTATTTTATTTTATTTTTATTTATTTTTATTTTTTGATGATTTTTGTATTGTTTCATTACTCGTGAATACTGAATTTGAGATATGAATTTTAAAAAGTGTATTTTAATACAACCTAAGTATCTGAAAGTAACCCCTGCATTAAATATGTCAAACAGATGTATAATCAGACTTGATAATGCTACCTCAACAGCAAGTAAGACAATCAATGAGATATTTCTTCTTACTCTTCCTATAATCAGGTTTGACCAAGAGATGATGGCAGTTCAAGAGGAGCTGCGAGGGGAAAGATCCAACAAGGAGAAGATCCAGAGGGAAAGAGACCAGATCCTCTCCCAGAAGTATTCGTTCGAGCAAGAAGTATCGGTGAGTATTTGCATTCAGTCTCGAGTATCTACGATAGGGGATGGTTGCATATTTGGTAAGGGATTGTTGTATATTTAAGTAGAGGATTGCTGTATGTTTAAGAAAGGGTCGTTTTATGTTTAATGGTGGTTTGTGTGCTGTTTGGTATCAAATCAGCAGTATTGAATAATTTGGTTTGAGTTATCAGTTTACATAAGTAGGGAGGAAAGTGCACCTGGTTAGAAAAACGAAAATTATGCCTAATAAATCATGAGGTAATTGATCAAGGAAATACAAATAGTACACACCTCTAATAAGACCAGAAAAAGGTAAAAGTTTAGAATTATAGATAATTTATAGGAAGGGAAATGTGCCACCTGGCTTGAGAACACAAATACACACACAAGGAATAAGGTTGAGTTAATTACTTAGGAATTTATATATAATTGCATTTGTTGGAAGGAAACTGTGTTTATATCTTTATTTTTATTTTTTGTTAATCCATATTTTCGTTTTTTTTAATGTCTTGGAGAGTAAAACTGAATATTTTCTAATGAATGTCTTTTTTGTGATGATGGCTATAATTTTTTTATACTATTTTTCTTGCTGCCATACTGTCTTAAGTGTAGCGTTGAGAGTAAGAAATAAAGATTAAGTGTCGAGGTTTCAAGAAAACGATACCTAGTTAACCTAAAAGAAGAGAAGACGGAAAAAAAGTTATTCCCTATTTTATTCATGTCGGTTTCATTAGAGGCCATTAGTATAATAACATAATGAAGCCACGCTCCAGTTGATATAGGAGGAAGTTTTGTGGCGGGAACGCCCTAGTTACTCTGCGCGGTTTTCTGAATTATGAACGGGACAGGAAGATGCGATTGTTGCATTGGTCAGTTCGTGACACTTGGTGATCATGTGTGTGTGTGTAGCTTTTGATGGTGGAAAAGTGTCATGTTGGAAAGGGCGTTTTTTAAAGTTTTGGAGAAAAAAAGTGATTTCCAGTATGGTTTATATCAAGAGACGCTTGCGTGTTTCTATGCGGATACACATGCAGTCACGTACTATTGTATAAATATTTCTATATGGCATGTGGTTAAATGCATACGTATGTACAACGGATTTGTCGATAAGTAAATAGATGATTCGCACGTAAACTGCTTATGTAAGACAGAAATACACATTGAAAGACGGACATACACGCATTCATAAACCAACGTTAAAAAGAAAAGCAAGAAACATGAAGTGGCGTCCTCTTTGCGAGGAAACGAGACTGGTGAAGACGTTGCCGGCGGGGTCGAGGAAAGTGCGTGGGAAAGTGAGCTAAGTGGCGTTCGAACTCACTCCCTCTCTCCCCTCCCCCCTCCGATTTGCCTGCATTACATTACATTATGATGTTCTGTTCCATTTCGGCCGGACGCGGCGGGGTCATGCACGCAATGCGGTCTGCTTGGTTGTTCTTGCGTCCGCCGTGAACTCGGTGAATAATTCAATATTCTTTATTTTATTTGATTTATTTAGTTATTTTTTTATGAAAGGAAATTTATTCCTTGGTGTGATTCGACCCAGTTTCCCACAGGATAATGGCCGGATGTGAATATTCGTACATAAAAGTGTAATGGGTTACCAGGGTTCTTTTTTCAAGGGTTTTATATAATGCGAATAGGGAATATCAGCGATTCAGCTTAGAACATTGCCTATGCTTTTAACAAAGATTTTTCTTCAAATAATCTGGCTTTGAGGGGAGAGGGGGAGAATGACGAAGTGCAGAGTGCCGCCGAGAGGAGTGCTGGCAGTGCCTCTGCTCCAATTTTTTAGTCTTATTCGTCTTTTTCTTTTGCTTCTGATTATTATTTCTTTATTTTCTGTTTTTTTTTCTTCATCAGCTTATTTCTTCCTCATCTTTTTGAAAACGAGGCAAATATGTATTGCAGACATTGGCGATTGGCTGAAAGCAACGTGTCTGAATGACATGTTGCATTGCATAAATGTAAAAAAAAAAAAAAAAAAAAAAAAAACGGAGGTCATCAGTCGTCACCAATATATCAAATACATTTTCGCCTCGTTAAGATTTAATAAAAAATAAGAAATCAGAGGAAATGTATATCAATGGAAGACCTTTGCAGACATGCACCAATTGCGTGAGTGCGTCGGGTGGGTTTTGGTCTCAGTGCCGGCCGGGATGCGGTTGGCGGAGCGGCGTTCCGAACGGCCGCGCGTTCGCTGGATGGGCGCGTAGATCTGGCGGCGGCGGGTGATCAGGTGCATGGCGTGGAAGGGGGGAAGGGGGGAAGGGAAGGAGAGGAGAGGAAGGGAGAGGGGGTAGAGTGGTGGGAGGAGGGATAGGAGGGTGGTGTGGGTGGCTGGGATAAGGAGGGCGGTGGAGGGGAGAGTGGAAAAGGAAGGGGGGAAGGGGGTGGTAGGAAGGACGGGCGCTGCTATGGTCTGGATGTTCTGCGCGTCTGCCTTTCCAACGACGCATCTCGCTTTGGAATGTGCTTGCTTGTATTTGCTTGTCTCTCTGTCTTGTTTAGTTGCTTTCTTTCTTCTTCTTCTTCTTCTTCTTCTTCTTCTTCTTCTTCTTCTTCTTCTACTTCTTTTTTCTTCGTTTCTTCGATTTCTTTCTTTTTCTTCTCCTCCTTCTTTCTTCTTCCTTCTTCTTCTTCTCCTTCTCCTCCTTCTCCTTCTCCTTCTCCTTCTCCTTCTCCTTCTCCTTCTCCTTCTCCTTCTCCTCCTTCTTCCTCTTTCCTTCTTCTTCTTCTTCTTCTTCTTCTTCTTCTTCTTCTTCTTCTTCTTCTTCTTCTTCTTCTTCTTCTTCTTCTTCTTCTTCTTCTTCTTCTTCTCTTCTTCTCCTTCTCCTTCTCCTTCTCCTTCTCTTCTCCTTCTCCCTTCTCCTCTCCTTCTCCTCCTTCTCCTTCTCCTTCTTCTTTCTTCTTCTTCTTCTTCTTCTCTTCTTCTTCTTCTTTCTTCTCTCTTCTTCTTCTTCTTCTCCTCCTTCTCCTTCATCTCCTCCTTCTTCTTCTTCTTCTTTTTCTTCTTCTTCTTCTTGTTCTTTTTATTCCTTTTCTTCTCCTCCGCCTTCTTGGTGACAAGGTGGTTTCGTGGGACTTTTGCTGATCAGGTATTTACTCGCTTGTGTAATTCATTCATTGAGTCGCTTGTTCATTCTATTCATCTAATTGAAATCTCTAGTCTCGTTTTTTCAATCTTTCACTTACTTGCAGACTCATTTGCACTCATTCACTTATTCATCCAACTCACTCACTCATACAATTTCGAATTCGCTCCTTCAGTCACGTCGCTCACACACACTCGGTCACTTATTTCTAATTCAGTCTCGTATTCTTTCACAACTTTTGTCGGTTCACTCTCCTTTCATGCACGCACTCACCATAAATTTCTTCCTCTCTCTCTCTCTTCTCTCTCTCTCTCAATCTCTCTCTCTCTCTCTCTCTCTCTCGTCTCTCTTCTCTCTCCTCTCTCCTCTCTCTCTCTCTCTCTCTCTTCTCTCTCCTCTCTCCCTCTCTCCCTCCTCCTCCCCCCTCCCTCCCTCCCTCCCCTCCCTCCCTCCCTCCCTCCCTCTCCCTCTCCCCTCTCCCTCTCCCTCTCCCTCTCCCTCCCTCCCTCCCTCTTTCCCTTCCTCCCTCTCCCAGTTTTCCTCCTTTCTCCATCTCCCTCTCTCCTTCCTTCCGTCCTCTCCCTCTCCCATTCCTCCCCCACCCCCGTTCTCCTTGGGCGATCTAGATATTGATGTTAAACTTGTTGAGGGCGAAGAGATCCGCGCTCGCAAGGTCGGGCGGGTGGGGGGGCGGCGGGCGGCGGGCGGGGAGGGGGAACTCGACACCTGGGAAATCGAGAGTATTAAAGCAGGCGATGATGGGGGGAGGGGGGAGGGGGGATGGAGAGGGGAGAGGGTAGGATGGGTAGATGAACGAGAGGAGGGGGATGTTGGGTGGAGGATGGGTGGAGAGGGTAGGATGGGTGGAGGGTGGTGATACTTGGGATTAGTCTTTTTGATTGTCTCTTTTGATGCACGTGATCGATTGTTCGTCTGTCGTCTTTGAGACACTCAGTCCTCTCTTCTGTTTTTTTTTATCTTTTCTTTAGCACACTCGATCGCCTATTCGATTATTATCTGCATTAACCCTTTCTCTGCGGGTTAAAGCGAGCGCCCAGTTTTCTTCCCGAGATCCTGTCCCGGTGACGTTGGCGGCGCTGGTTCCTTTGCTCGTCTCTGGCGTTCGAGTGCAGTTTTGTTTGTTTGTTTTTTTGTTATTTCCTCGTGTCGTCCTGCTTCTCCGTTTTCTGTTCGGTTTCTTTGTTTTTCCTTCTCCATTATTTTGTTATTATGTGTATGTGTTCTTTTGCATACTCTCTTTTGCGGATCGTTTGTTTCTTCATCGTCGTCGTCGTTGTCTTCTTTTTTGTCTTGTTGATCGTTTTCACTAACTTTTGCCCACATTTTTTTTTATTTCTCTGTCCACACACTTCTTCTTTTCCCTCATTTCTCGTTAAGTGGTTTCTTCGCCGTCCATCTCATTTCTTCCGTTTTCGATCGCCTTCCATCTTCCACCTCCTTCCTTCATCTGTATTCTTCCACCTTCCATCGTCTTCCATCTTTTATCACTTATCTTCTATATATTCCCATCTTCAACCACATGCTCCTCCCTCTTCCTACTTCGCTCCTTCGCACAGTGATAACGGAGTGTAAACAAAAACAAGATAGGCAGGTCTACGGGAGATTACCTGGATTAAGTATAATTTATCAGTCCCTTGTTATCTCGGGGGGGGGGGGGGTATGGGAGTCACGTGGGAGACTGATAGTGAGTGACGTGTATGGTGAGTGGTTGGAACGGCAGTTGTCAGGCGGGGTTGGTGGTGCGGGTGAATTTGCGTTTTGGTTGTTGGGTTTGGTGTTGGGCGCTGGTAGGCAAGATTTTGGTAGGTGGTGGACGGCAGGCAGCGCGGTAGGCGATCTTGGCAGGGGGGAGGTAACGCGGTAGATGGCGGGCGATGATGGTGGGTTGTGGGTATTTAAGGGGAGGAGTGGTGGCGTTGTTGTAGGACGGAAATGCTGGGCGTGTTCTGGCGCCCTTTCCTCCGCGAGAGCAAGGCAGGGC